GGCGGCGACGAGGCCTGGCGGCGGCGGTGGTCTCCTCCCTCGATCCCGATCCAATCGGGGGAGAGGGGGAGAGATATTTTCGGGAGGGGGGGAGTGTCGGTGGGGGGGAACGTGGGTTGGACCGAGGGGATAAGGGAGAGGAGCGGGGCCGACCTGGGCCGGCCTGGTTGGCCCAATGGCCAGCTGGGCCGCGGTTCAGCAGGGGGGCTTCCTTTTTTTTCTGTTTCTCTTTTGTATTTTCTTTCTTTTATTTATTTTCTGTTCTGTTTTATTTTTCTTATATAATAGTTTATAGTTTTACAAAAAGTGAAACCCATAGCTAAAATAGAGTTACAATTATAACTACTGCCACGAAAGGTTTTATCCCTGAACAAAATAGTTTAGTATTTTATAAAACCCAAAATGCATTTATTTAATTGTTTTACCTACTGTTTTAATCATTTTAGGGTATTAAAACATTTTATAAAAGTGGGGTTTCTTCACCACAATTAACTTTGCATTATTTGGCACAACTCGAATATTTTAGTTTTAAAATTTGAAAACTTTTACCGTTTGATTTGATTTTGAATTTGAATTTGAATCAGTTTCGAACTAACGCGAGATTAGCAACAGTAATTGTGCTGACGTGGCATCATTAACAGTGGTTTACTGTAGCTTAAGTATCCGGGCGTCACACTACCACAACAGAGAACACATAGTTATGAACTAAACAAAAATAGTACAAACTGCATGCATGTGAACCAAACCAACAAAAATGGATAGATCTTACCTTGGTCTATCTTTTCTTCAACTTCAGCATATTCAAAATCCAACTCTAAATCACCCTAAATTACGAATGAAATGTGTAATGAGTTTTGCTTTCTCTGTGTTCTTGCACGCAAAGAGTAGAAGAGGAGGGCAGAGTGTGCTTGCGCACGGAGCATACGCATACTATATAAAGGAGGAGCATCCCTGTAGTGTCGGCACAACAGTTCCTGCCCGTGAAATTCGTCGTCCTCCGCGGGTGGGAATCAGCCCAGTTTGCAATAGCGTGAAATTCGTCGTCATTACGCGCGTGGGAATGAGGGAAGTTTTCGTCGGAATCAGCGCCAGGAATAATCTGCAGCAGGACCGGCTGTCGGGCCGAATGCAGCGCGGCCGCCTCACCCGGTGGCGGCCGGGCCCACTGTCTCGTCGCGCGTGCAGCTGGCCTGTCGGCCTGGGCGCGGCATGGGCACGAGAGGCCGCCTCGCCCGTTACGTCGCGGCGCCTCGCACTGCAGGAAATCCGTTCTAGCTGGGTGGCCGCCTCCGGCGGTGGCGGCTGGGCCCGCTGCCTCCTGGCGTGGCGGCAGGTGCCACGTGTCGCCTGCCGCGCCTGCCGCCACCGCTGAGGGGGTCCTTTTTATCAAATTGATCCAGAGGTAGTCTTTTTTGGCAATTCATCTCGGCAGGGGGTCTTTTTGGACAAAAAATCGCGCTCGTACGCCGGCTCCGTCAGGTGGATGCCGTCCCAGTTGATGTGCGTGGCGGGGTTAGCGCACGCGGTCGCGCCGGGAAACCCGCACGCCGCCGTCATGTTGTAGTTGTACGGCCCGCCGGCGCCACAGCACACACGGAGCTTCGACGAAGCACTGAACCCTGCAATGCCAATTCCGCTCGGCATTAGCAACTGCCATAAAAAATGGTAAACGAAGTTGACAATTCTAAGTTAAAAAAAGTACTCGTATATATAGAACTACTAGGCTGACACGATATGTTTAAGAATGGCGGATCGATTGACCGGCTCGGTCTTCGACTCAATTTTTGGGATCTGCATCTGGTAGGAGGCGTTTACTTTCATGACAGCTAGTACATTCTAACCGCGGGCACCGTAACGCTTACCGAATTTCTTTGGTTTCCTGAGAAAGTCGATCAGCGGCGCGTAGTAGTCGGCGTAGACGATCTTCGCCGCCGGGTACTTGATCCGGAGCCGGTACACGGCCTCGAACAGCACTCCGTTGTGGTAGCGCGCGAGCGCGTTGTATTTCCTCAGGCACCCGGTCCGGCGGTCGTAGTGCCGCTTGTTGGGGCTCGCGTACAGCGTCAGGACGATGGGGATGCACCCCGTCGGCAGCTGCCCCGGCACCAGCACGTACCTCGCTCTCTCCTTGAGCACCGCCTGCAAAGCAACGCCGATCGAACGATCAAGCTGCAGCGTTCATTTGGTACGTAATTCTATTTGTCATGTGCTGCTACGGAGTACCATACCTCAGCGCCAGCTGAGATGGCTCCTACGACTTTCGGAACGTACGACGCGACCTCGCCGAAGGATTTCCCGGCGGCCATGAGGAAGGTGTAGTCGTTCCCTCCGAACTCCCCCATGAAGAAGAGGGATCTCTTGAAGTAGTCTCTGCACCCTGAAGATAAAACCACAATTTGTCAGCCAGATCACTCGATCGGGACTGCATGCATCGATCATGGCTACGTCGTTCGTCGTACCTCGTGGCGTTGAGCACAAGGTGGGCTTGAGCTTCTGGAACCAGTCGAGCTGCACGCTCAAGGAGCTGTTGAAAGGGGGCACGCTCGTGATGTTGTTCTCGAGGTAGTAGGCTAGATCGAGCGCCGTGGCGCCGACGACGGCGAAGTTTGCTCCGCGGGTGAAGTTACGCTCTTTGCCGAGAATCGGGGGGACGAAAGGGAGCCCAAACTCGCTGGCTGCCAAGTTGATTCATCGAATATCTATCAGTCCCGGCATGGTAGACATCACCTTCTATAGCATTCTCTGTAACATAAACTGAAAGCTGGATAATTCGAGACAAAGGACGGTACCGATGAAATCCATGGTGATGCGGCCATTGGAGGCTCGGCCGGTGGGGCGGCCAAAGAAGGTCTCGCCGTGGGGGAGGTTGTTGAAAGGCATGACCAGGAACACCGGCGCGGCGAGCTTGACAAAGTTGCCGGTGTCGGCGTACGAGTTGCCGAAGCTGAAGATGGAGTGGATCGAGGGACGACCAGGGTGCGCCTGAGCGTAATGCACGCTGGCTAGTAGAGGGAGGAGGAAGAAGGCTATGCACTTTGAGGCTGAGTGCAGCTCCATAGTTTTGGCGCAGTGTGTCAACTGGTCAGCAAGCTATGCTATTGCTATTTGGCGGAAATGTCCAAGTACATATATAGCGTCCTTTGCTTGTATCGGCGGTTCTCATTTACCGCGGCTGTCGAGAGTCGAGACTCGACAGTGGACAGGTTTACTTGGATTTCTTGAACAAGGCAAGCCTTTTCGCGTTGACCCAATGGCATACCAAGCTCTTGCCCTTGTTTTCTAACCCAAAGTTTTAGATGCCTATATTACAGCAGCATTATTACTCCTTTAGGCATCTTCACATGCAACCCGCTAGTTTCCTCCCGCATATCTGTCCACGGTAAAAGGGACCAGTCCGTGGGCACGGATGCATGAGACCGTCATCCAATTGTAACCGTAAATGACCGTCTCTGTTAAATTTTAAATGCCAACTAACTACATGATTCCTTTTAAAAAACTATGGTTAGTCGTTGTTTGTTTGGCGGAAGGCTATTAATCCTTGTGCCAATGTAGTTTCCGCCAAAGATAGCTGCTTCCGCCACTAAACTAGCTTCTTTCCGCTAAATGGGCTTGGTCATTTTCAAACCTTCCGCCAAAAGGCCAAATCTATTTACATAGTTTCCGTCATTTCATCAATGTGTAATAAAGAACATTAATAGAAAACTAGTAATAATTTTGTCAAATGCTAATCATATGGCAAAAGGTAAACTTCCGTCAAATGCCCAAATATATTTAGAAAGCTTCCGCCAAATGCCCAAATACTAATCACTTTGCATAATGCTAATGGCAAGAAGTAACCTTCCGCCAATGCCCAACTATATTTGCAAAGTTTTTGCCAAATGCCTAAATACTAATCATCTAACATGCTAGCCTTCCGACATCTGGACGAAGAGGTGTGGTACGTGGCGACTTTTGGTTTGTCATGAGGCTGTCCGGATTTCCGCAGAACTCCCCCACGTTTGCCTCCGCTTTACGGGAGAAAGTATGTCCGGACCGCGCCGCAGATCGATAGAGGACCGTGTTGGATGGCTTCTGCGGTCCGAACAACGCGGTCTGGACGGATGCAGGCGGTTTGAGGATCGGCGTTGAAGATGCCCTATAGCCGGGTGCCCCAAACCCGCATCAAACATCCGGGGGATGGCTCGGTCACTGACCGGTCACAAAAATTCGACTCAGACGGGCACCTCAAACGGGTCTCAAATGTCCGAGTTGAACGGCACCTCTCATATCCAACCCAAATATGGGGCGGATATGGGAGCGCCCGGGTGTGTCTGCCTACCCCGCTGCAGGTCGTAGCGGTCCCACTTGCAGCCACCAAAACTCCTTCCACTCTCATTGGCACACCCAATTTTAGTTCCATATCGCCACGTGAGGTGGATGCCAACTGGCTTAAATAGCCGCGCCGGCGGATGGCGGCAAGCTTCTCTGTTGTTGTATAGGTCAATCAATTCTTGATGTGTGAACGAGATAACCTGACACTAGATTGCATTTCATCAACTGAGGACTGTTCATTGAGTGTCAAGTTCGTCTCGTTCATATACGTTGATTCCCCTACTACAATGACAGTAGATTTTTGTTTTGTTCATCGAGTTGTATCAACACTTTATGATTCAAAACAAGCAATACTGATATGAATGTTTCCCTTGTCAAGGAGATAGACCTTGACTATGAATGGTTAAGGGACTAGTGCTTTGTTAGTGTACATCAGAAGTTATCCCTAAGAATTTGTTTTAAAAAAGCGTTATGACCCCTAAAAATGTTGTGATAGTATTGAAAAATATGAGATGCCTATTTGAAGCAAATGATGATGCTCCAGGACAAACCGTACTATCAAGGGGTGTCAAAGTGAAAGTTAGATTGAAGTCTTCTAGTATGTCGGACAAGAGCATAGAACTCGCGTGCCACGGGCAAGTTCCATTGCCTATTTTTACTTCGATTTAGGTGGGTTTTGTTGTTTCTTTTGGGTTTTTTGCGGCTTCTTTCCACCTTTCTTTTAGTTACATTTCCTTCCGGATTTCATTTCATTTTCTTTTAAATTTAGTGCATAACAAGCATACATAACAAATCATGGGCAATCCAATCCAATGCAATGCATATCGAGGCATTGCAAATTCCACATAAATAAACAAATTCCTTATTCAGGCTTGGTTCCATACAAAACAAAAGTTGTTTACACACAATCTACAGCTCGAAAGAAAGATGTCTCAATTTGATTGTACATATGTTTCCCAAATGGCAGACAAGACTGACTAAACCATGCACCTTGAAGGAGGCCCAAAAAACTATATCGCCAAAGGATAAATCCTTGCTGATACTCACCTCGCAAAAAGATAAAAAAAATGCTTGCTAATACTCAGGGATGGATTCCTTTTCAGCCTATTTTTCCTCAACACCCCAAGCCCAGATCATCACTCACACAGTCTAGTGGCTGGCTGCATCGAGCCCCATCGGCTTGACATCGACTCCGTGTGGCGTATCAACTTCCCCCCGCCTGTGACTTCCAGCTCTTTTCATCCCTTTAGCTATCATCTCCTGTAAAATTCAAAGAAACAGACGGGCCGAGCCAGGTCAGATCTCTCTCTAATGCTGCATGAACATATGTACATGCTGAAAAAGTATATACAAAAAAGTTTCCCAACTAAAAACCATTTTTTTTTAGAAAAGAGGGATGACTCCCGGCCTCTGCATCCGGGAGATGCATACGGCCATTTTATTGATTATTCTCGAGGATCTTACAAAGTATTACAACAATAAGTCTGAATCCACCATCTTGGCAACACATGCCACTACTCCTACCCAAAATGATGAAGGGGTGCTAGCTGGGCCACTACCCAAACCACTCACCTAAGCCTAACATCAAAAGCCGGAAACCCAAACATATTCGGAATCCCCAGCCGAGCCACATACCGGGTCTGGGGCACAATCCGGTCAGACGCACTCGTGTGTCGTCGCCACCATCTTTCGCAGGTCCATTTTCAGATCATATTGAGGCTTCTACCTTGTCTGGCCACTCAGCCATTGGCGTCACCATGACGCCAGACAGCAACCTCCTCCTGCGCGAGTCCATCTCCGCGCATCGGGCGGCGAACCTCCACAGCGCCATGCCGCCGATCCTCGCCGCCATCAATGAGTGAGATGAAGTACCGCTCCACCACGGCATGTACATTAGTGCTAAGCGGAACGGCTCACAACCGCAAGTCATCGGACGAAGGCAAAGATCCATGGAGAAGGCCAAAAGGGGCATAGCCAAAGCGGTGGTCAGGGATTGCACTGAGACCACGGCAGCCGCCACTGAGAAGAACAGGCTACCTCACACCGTCACCACGCCACCAGCAGCTCCACCCCACACGAGCAATCCCCGGAGACGCCTTCAAGAAGGAGCACGGCACCGGATGCCGCCATCGACCATGCAAGGGGAGGGCAGGTCTTCACCTGTGCTCGAGGGAAAGGTGGGAGGGGAGAACCACACCAAAGCCTCCAGGAAGGACCACGGCGCCGAAGACGTCGCCTTTGGTGAGGCCGCCGCGCCGGCCAGGGGTTTCCCCCGGAATCACGCCCAACCACCAGATCCGTCCGTCCAGACCCCCAAGACGGCGACCGAAGCCACCAGGGGCTGGAGCAGGGCGCAGATCGGAGCAGATCACGGGCGGGAACGGAGCTTCTCCAGGAGCGCAGGACGACCCACGCGGGGGTGCCGCCTCG